GAAAGCAAACACTGCACTCCCCTCATCTCCCCTGCAGCCAATTAGCCACCCCATTCTACTGCAGCTCAAAGTGAGCAAAAGTTTACAGGAATTACTCCTCTAAAATATTATAAAGACCCTCCAAAAAAATTATTACCTAGACCTGCCACTACTTTGCAGTGCACATGACATCCTAGATCTTAGACCATCTCCATTGGTGAGACTCAACTTTGAGTATTGAAATACAAAATGAGTTGTTTTTTTACCTCTAATGGTGATACTCAACACACTTCTCAATTTAGCAACTTATGTGAAATCTAATTTCTTCAATGGTGAGACTCTCTAAAATATACTAATGTCACTTTCAATTATGGCCCACCAAATCCATATTGTAAGTTTTTCAAAAAAATAAAAATAAAACTTAAATAAATTACAAAATATATTATAATATTGATAAAGGGCCCACACTTTATGTCAAATGAGACTCAAAGTTGAGTATCTAAACTTAGCAACTTTCTTTTGGAGTTGCTAAGTTTAGATACCTAGTTATTGGTATCCTTTGCAAAAAATACACTCTATCTCTCTCCTAAAAAAAACTCCCTCAAGTCTCACCATCTAATTTCACGAAAAAATATTTTGCCAAAAAAAAAAAAAAAAAAAAAAAACCAAATAAATCCTGTGCATCAGGATTTAGGCACTTCAACTTTGTGGCTATATCACTGAGCTTCTTCCAACACATGCAAAACACCAAATTTTGACTTCAACATTGGATAGTTATTAAACATATATGAATATGAATGCCAATCCAATAGTCAATTTGTTAATTTTTCACAATGAAACCAGAAAAATAAGAAAAAGAATCAACCTCCTCCTCCTGCAGGTTCTGCTGTATATGCTCAGTATAAACTCTGTCTTTGCTCAAGTCGAAATCATACCGATTAAACTGCATTTTCTTAGTCTCAAGCTCATGATTTATCTTCTCTTGCATTTGTGTTATCCTAGTATCATGATCTTGAGCAATGCGTTGCATTTTCTGACTTTCTGTTGAGAATCAAGCATGCAAAAATTTATTAGTATTTGGTCTTTCATGGTGTGTGGGGACAGGGGCATGAGCTCCTTGAAAACTTAATATACATGAGACAAAAAAAGGCTTCACGAGCTCAAGAGACAGATAAGCACATTCTCCAGCCAATATGTGGATGAATGGGTAATGGAGTAATGGATTCAGATTACTATTAACTTGCTCACACAAATTAACAGGAAAGAAGAGAATAATTTTTTGATTAAAAATATGAAAGGGTTCATACAAGCTAGCAGCTTTAGGGTGCAAATCTCCAAATAGTGATTGGTAACTTGAGGCTACCACTCTCCAAGGTAGTGACTTTAGGAGTTCATTGCATACCTTCACTTATTTAAACTAAGTTCAATGACTACACATAATGCCCCTCCCCTAGGTCGGTTCATTACAGTGAATAGGTCTAAATCCAAATGTTTACTGCAAGAAAGCAAAAGACTCCTAGTGTCAATGGAGAGCTAGAATAAGAATATGCTCTAGCACCAACAAAAGACAAGCAATTCCAGAGTTTAGAAACATCTGATTGACCATGGGGAAAGGGGGATCAGCATGCAAACACAAATTTAAAATATGCTCAAAGTATAATGAAACATGCACCAATGTGCAGAGGCACCAATACAAGAAACATACAGAGTAGTAGTCGTTAATTGTTAAGAGAGGAGGGGAAATGAGGGGATTAAGACTGTGAACCAGGCCCATTGCACTGGAGAGTTCCATCCTAATAGCCTAAAAATTGGAATCCCTAGGCTTTCCAAGGGCGAGAGAATAATTCTTTCCAAGGAAAAAAGAAACAAACCTGCATCATATAATGCTTTCTGCATCTTGTCTGCCTCTTCAAGAATTCGATTTAAAGACACGGCTTAAGGTACTGCCACAGGTGGGAAGCTACTTTCACCTAATTCAAAGCCTACGTCAACCTTTAAATATCTAGCCAAAGCAAGATGGAGGGCTTTCTTCTTAGATTTTCGCCGAGCAGACAGCAGAGCTGCTGGCAACACCTGAGGCATGCTGAAGTAGGCTTCTGGAGCCACACGATTGCTTCTTCTTATCCCGACAGAAGGGGCACTTAAAGGTACCATTTGGGTTCTCCACTTTATAGATCCCGTTTCTCAAGGCTTGATATGGTCTCTGAATACTTCTTGTTGAAAGTTCTTGAGTGAAACACAAAGAAAAGAAAAAAATGAAAGAGAGAGTCCCACTTTGATAATTGTCAAAACTTTGTGTCGTTTATTCTTTGGAGTAGTTTTGCACTACTTGTTTGAGTAGCGGTAAGCGGGTTATGGGCATCTTACCTTTTGGCACTCTTTATTCTTTGACGGTTTATTGTTATTGGAATATTGTATCTATTACAATATTCATGGTCTATTCGTTTGAGTTATGTTCGTTGTTAATTTGGAAGTTACGCTCATCAATAACCATTGGTGTAACCCCTTAATTATCTCATTAAGATAAAGTTACTCCTCTTAAAATGCTGGCCGTTTTCCTTTTAATAGGTTGTGGCCATATCCTTCCATCGATTGATATATATATTTAGCATTCCCAATTTTGAACAGACACACAAAAATCAGAAATTCCCTTTCACTTTAAAAAATACTCCTTTGATTTTGGTTTGTGAGTGCACATAAACTCCGGCGCCGTGCTTATCTTGGAGGGCGACCGCTTCTTGTCTACTGCACCGGGAGGTAGCGCGGAATCGTCTTTTAGACCAGTGGTTCGCCACGACGCGGCAATTGTCAATTTGGTCCACACAACATTAAAATAAGTATTTTTCGTTTAATTTGCTTATTTACTAACACTTCTCAATCTCAGAATCAGCAATGTATTCTCCATCTGATATGTACTCCATCTAGCACCTTTCAAAACAAGCAATAAACGGTGCTAAACTTTAAGAATTGACCTCTGATGAAATAATACTTATTTTAAGATTATACAAGATGTAACATCATACTCACAAAACAAACATCTGAAAATTCAGATAAAGACTAAATCTAAAACATCTTTGGTACTTCATATTTGTCTAATCTGCAAATGTAGAATTCGATCATATAACAAGTCTTACAAACTTTGCAAAACAATGTCAAACTCTCAAACACAGCCACATTGAAGAACATCATTTAAAATTTAAAAAGTAGCATTAGAGATTACTTACATCAGCAAATAATTACAAAAAAAAAAAAAAAAAAAAAACAAAAAACCACATCAAAATCGAAAATTCATTCTATAAATTGACAAATGTAGCTGCACGATTTAATCCCCGTGCCTTACTAATCGAGTAGCCAGTAAAAACTAACAATCCAGATATGCACTTCAGCAAAGTAGATGATCAAAAGTCAAGATTGGCTACCAAAATTTACATTTTGTTCAAGTACATGGCCTAAATGTAGGTAATTCATCATTCATGGTTTATATCAAAAAAATATTTTTCTTATAGAATCATAAATATCATAGAAATAATTAGAATTATTTACTTTATTTGTGTACATAAAATATCCAATGCCTTAACAATCCATAGAGAAATCAATAACATGCAAGCACTATATTTGACAGTTAATTTTACATAAAAAGATCAATTTTAACAAGAGGGTATTACATAATTTCTATAAAAGTGTCTGGAAAAACCAGTAATTGTATAATTCAACCATAAAATGCAATCATAATAAGCAAAATCAAGGTGATAAAGAAGCAATCTTTGAACCAAATGGTAAAAATTTTAGAGATATTAATGACATGAGCAAGCAATTTTACTGATATTGAAGTGCCCAGAAACAGCCTAATAAACCAGGATTGTCGTCTTCTTCTTAGAGGATTGAAGAATTTCCAGAGGAGTTGGGAGTTGCACTGTTTTTAGACTTTTTTTTTTTTTGAAAGACATTGTTCTTTCCGGGTAAATTCAAGTTTCTCTCAGTTATTGATGTTATTAACCTGGGCTCTTTCCATGGGATTGTTGATGAGTAAATAATACTCCGTACGTAGTACTTCCACGGTTTTTTTTTTTTTTTTTGTCGTTGTTGACTTGTTGCAACATTTTTCATGTTTGCAGTGCGTAGTTTCATGTCTCAATTATTCAAGACGAACCTAACTAAATATTGTACCACATCCGAATTTAAAAAAAATGAATAAAATGAATAAAGTTAAACTATTGCAATTAAACAAAAATTGAAAAATAATGTACTCCTAGTGTATTAGAATAAATTATGCTCCTTGTATTTCTAAATGTTCTTCTTGTTTTGACTTTTTTTCGAGACAAAATCACCCAAAAAATAAGAAAGAAACTATTCTATGGCCCTATTCTCTTGAGCTTTTGCACAGAGCAGAGTAGAACAGATCACATTTCAGCAAAGTATGGCAAAGCAGAGCAGATGTCAGCATAATAGAGTAGAGCTTTCCAACATTACAGAGCATATTTCAGCAGAGCACAGCAGTACAGCTCAAAACTTTACCACTTATTTCTCTATCAAATGCTTTCTTTATCCCTTAATATTTAAAAGTGTGGTCCTTATGTTGAATGAAGAGGACAAGAAATTATCTTTCTACCAAATACTCCCTCAGTCCTTATTACGAAGTGTAATTATAATGTAATATGGAGTAGTTGATTAGTTGTCTAGGAAAGCATGAAAAGGGGCAAATAACTAATTTACAACAAACAATAAAGTGGGAACTAATCACTTATTAAAAAAAAAAAAAGTAAAATGTTATACATAGCTCTTAGAATATAAGCATTAAATTTACACTAAAAAATTATAAAAAGTTTGAAAATCGTAAAAATAAAAACACTAATTACACTTATTTACACGTGTTTTTGTCATAAATTCCTAATTTTATACAATTTTCAAGAGTGTATTTAATGCTTATATATAGCCCTTAAAAAAATTAATGAAAGAGTCATAGTATACAAACTTATTGACACGTTGCCCAATAAATTATTTACTACGTAAATATGGAGTTGTTCACATTCGTAGAGTTACGAGACAATAAAAAAGTTACAGAAAGATCAGTTAAAAATAATTCATGATTTAGTCTTAAATAGTTCAAATGCCATTCTTTTAACAAAATGAAGTGCTTACAATCTCTCCCAAAACCACTAAAAGTTGATTAAGACGGACTAAGTTATAATACCAAATTACGACTTTACTATAGTTATTACTTGCCACCAAGGCTTCAAAAAAACCTATCCATCTGTTCATATATATACATCCAAAAAACCACCAGCTCAAAAGAGTATATACACATTCTAATGTTCAGATCCTCAAAAGTCTCAAATATTGTCTCCAAATCCTGTTCGTCTTCAATCAGGTTGCTTCCTGCATAATCATATGAGTACTTGAGTACTTCAGAAGAAATTAGATAATGTGAAAACAGATGTTGGGATTTCAGAACAAGATGCATACAGATATAAGAAAGTTAAAATGTGGCCAATATTAAAAAATACTAAGATAAAAATGAAATGCAAATATTAAAACGTAGCCAATATATTGATAACGAATTCTCCTAATGCTCACCGCTAGAACAAACTTTAACCAATACACAGCATGTTATTTCATTCAGATCTGAAAACATATTCCAGAGAGCATAGGGTGTTACACTTACACTGTCGTGCTGAAATACAAATGATACAAGTAGACTTTAAGATACATGTGTATGTAGGATCTGTTTCATTTCTACCAAGTAGAGGCCTGAGGTCCTCCTATACTACGAGTCTACGAATAGGTTCTTAGAGGAATAGCATTACCCCTTCCTCTGTTTCGAAGGGATTGTCTCTCTCGTCTCTCCTTTTCCAAGAAAGGGTTGACCCGTCTCCGGGAGAGTTCAAGAATCTATTCTTGCCCCCCCACAATACCCCTTATTTTAAAGTGTATCTAGAAATACTCTTCCATCTAAACCATCCAACATAACTACCTGAACCTGATTCTATTCCCAAAGATGTGTGTACCAGCAATTCTCTTCTCCGACATTTTTCCTTCTACTAGATTTCGCCGGTTCTACTATACTCATCAGGCATTATTCTTATTGATTGCAACACTACTCCTCAATCCACTCTCACAAACGAACGCTTGTACAGTTGTACTCCTTGCTTAGTGTTACTCTCGCTACAGCAACCACCACCTTTCTATTTAAGGGGGAAAAAAAAATTAAGGTCTTTATCCTGGAAAATATTGGTGCATTAGTCCATCGGAAACATGCACTCTTTTAGTGGATGAAAGTTAAGGTCTTGCAGTTTTCACATGCACTCTTTTAGTGGATGAAATTGCATGCATCTAGACTAAAACTCTCAAAACCATACCAATGGAAAGAATCTACTGGGTGGTTGATGTATTGTATATTTGTATTATATATATATATATATATATATATATATATATATATATATATATATATATATGCATGCATGCAACAATGCAAACAACTCAAATGATCTAAGTTTTAAATCAACTCACACCAAAGTTTGATTCCAAAACAACTCAAGTCACATTTGGACCGACTGATCAAAACTAGGGCTGGCAAACCCTGACCCGACACGAAAACCCGACCCGAACCCGACCCGAAGTTACTGAGAGAGACTTGAACCCGACCTGAACCGAACCCGAACAACCCGAATTCAACCCGATTTGACCCAAATTTCATATTTCGTAATAATATTAAGTTTTACACTATTTTTAATAGTTTCTAAGCATAACCCGAAATCGACCCGACATCTGACCCGAACCCGACCTGCTGACCCGAATTGCCACCCCTAATCAAAACTAAGGAGCTGGCTGAACATAAAAAATCCTTTAATTTAATCTCTGCAAAAAGGTCTGTCATTTCAAGAAGTATGAATTGATGTTACATAAGATAATCATGCTGAATCAAATACTCCAATTACGCAATTTATATTTTTAAGCATTGTTTAGTGTCTGCCATCATAACTAAAAATCGTATTACTATGGACCAAAATCTGAGTACAACTAAAGGGTCAACAAATTTAAGAGAATATCAAGAATCAGTATTTAAGCCACTAATAGGAAATACTGAAAAAGCATGACAGAAATGCAGACGAGAACAAACACAAGATTCAATTCCAGAAGAACGGTGCAAGAAATGAATAAGTTGTACACAAGGTTATTTTACCAATGATAACCAGTGTGGGACATCCTAAGACGAGATCAACATCATGAGAAACAGGTAAGAGAAATATTGCCAGAAAGCCAAATTCATTCAGCCTTTGAACTCTTATAGGAATATAGCTTAACAAAAACAGCCATCGTTCAATTTAAAACACACGAAGTATCATGCAAGCTGCACAAAGGAAATGATATGAAGCACCACCAACAACAACCAGGTTAGGTTATCATACTTACACTCAAGACTCATTCCAGATAGCAACTTCACCTCTTGCGCTTAGCCCTCAGGTTCTTAAAGACATAACTTACAACTTCCTTTACAGTAGCCTTTCGACCTTCCTTAAAGTTCCAGAGCTCATTGACTGGATATCTTCCGCTCGGATTGTATTCATTGATCTCAAGTAGGGCAGCTGCAACTGTTTCATAGACTTCAGCACCCCACTTCTCCTTGAGCCTTTTCAGATTCTCATCTTGCTCATCAATTACTTCCTGCATCACTAATCCAATTTAGGTTCAAGAATAGCAAGTACAATGAAAAAATGGAGGTTTGGACCTGGAATATTTAATTTGAACAAGAAGTACAATTTACCTTAGTCTTTCCATCAATCTCAGTAATTTTGAATGGATGCCATGCTGGATCTGTCAATTTTTCCTGCCACAACGTGCTTTCCTCACTTGCCTTTATTTGGACCTCATCTCCCGTAAATCTCTCCTTGCACTCCGTTTCAAAGGCCTTCGGGTTAATTTCCCCCATTCTTTTAACCCCAATGTTAGTACGATTACTTTGCAGAATGCCCGACAAACCCTGAACCACAAACAAATGCACGTAGTAGCAATAAATATATAGATGACATTATCTCAAACGACTGACAATACCAGTAAATTAAACATTAAGCAATCAGCACAACAAGAATAATAATCTCAAATATTAAAATAAGGGAGTCGAAATGAGAATTCAAATAGAAAACTAACAATAGAACAACCTTTTCACCTTATCAGCTCTAAATGACGACATGATGATTACAATTCATAGTTTATGGTCTCTCCATCCCACAGTTATATTCTGATAAATGACCAAAACTACCCTTGGGTGCACTAATGTGCACACGGGTGTATATAAAAGGTGTTGAGATCAAGAATGTTATAGAAATATCACATTTATTATCGTAGGGGTATGGACCTCCTTAGAGATGTACAGCAATACTTTGTATCAATGTTTTAGCTAGACTAAATGAAAAGAAGACAATCACCATGGAACTAAGAGTAACAATATCTTGCAAAAATAGAATGTTGCAAGGACATACTGTGATTAATTCTTTCCGAGCTGGCTGTAGTTCATCATTGCTCTGCCGTTGTTTAACCATAAGAACTTGATTCAGATCTTCCAAACTGTTCATTTTTTCAATCTTTTCGTTCAGCTCTTCAGTCAACATCTTCAACTTCTTCTGGACTGCAGCATCATCATCATTTCCCAGATGCTTTGTGATTTCTAGCTTTCCTTTAAGCTCCTCGATCTCCAACTGCAACTTCTGCTTAGCATCCAGCTCCTTTTCTAGCTGAAGAATCTTCTTCAAGGCCTCTTCTTGCTCCCTCTGCATTTTCAAATTTTAATCAGTTAGCTAAATAAATTTAAGCATGCTTGATGCACATAGAATGAATAATCACCTTTTGTTTTTCAACAAGCCTCAATACATTTTCATCTGCTTTCTGCTGCTCCATGGAAGCCATGTATAATGACTTGTTTCTTTCATCATTCTGGAAAACAATAAGATAACAAGTGTTGATTTTCACCAAAATTAGAGATCAAGATGCAACAAAACAATGAAACTGCAAGACATTATATCAACCAAATTAAGTATTTTACGTTTATTGTTCCACAAAATTTTATTTTATGGCACACTTATTGTTGCCTGGAAATAATTATTTCTTTCTTAAGTTGACCTCACCTCGTGGACTGTTTGTTATAATTTACTTGGTGAACTAGTTTCAGGTAATTGATATCCTCTTTTACAACATTGAACCAACAAAGTGGAATCAATGGCCTAATCCTGTTAAAGGTTACAACTAGGCTTATGATTGTAAACCATGCTGCCTTTGCTTTCTTCCATATGCATCATAACATCATCACTTCAAATAATGTGAACCATTATAAGCACCAATGACACAGAAACTACCAGAGCCCAGAGTTCAAGAAGGAAAGGATAGCCACTTAACCAGCTAGCCAGCCACAAACTCACATAAGGAGCAGGAGACAGTGGCAAATTAGTCACCACTCAACAGTAGAATTGTAGAGTGGAAACCTCAATTTGACCAGAGGCAGAACAAAATCACCTACAATACATTATTCTTACAGCTTGCTGCAATCTTGGATTAACTGAACTAACAAGTGGTTTCCAGTCAGCAATATTCTACCAAATGTATTCCAGTAATGACTGAACATAGTAGGATAGGATATACGTAGTCATGCATATAGTTATATCCAATGTACATGTCTGTCTTGCCAGCTTTTTGGGTGACAGTTCTTAGATTATGACTGACGTACATACTAGACATGGATGTAATTCATGTAACCAGTAAGTATAGCTAAAACAGATCTTAAACAAAAGAAGCCATGACTTTGACTCTCTGATCCTGGCTAACTGTCAACATGCTAGAGGTTGATTCATGCCGAGTCAGTGGCTGAGCCCCCACGGGCACTTAGATCAACCAAGACATATACTTTCCAAAAACCTTTTCTGTTTTTTTAATGCTTGCAAAGCTGAAAAAGAAAATTAAATCCATTCCAACCTTCAAAAGAATTACTCTTGATAGGATATTTACTGGACCTTTATTAAATAAAATCCAAACCTGCCATAGGCCCATGGCTTTAAGTGCACACTGCACATGTCATCCATGATTATAAAAAAAATAAAAAATAAAAAAACAGTAAACATCATACTTTGGGAAATTAATTGTTATGTATCAAGAGCTTCAATCTTGCGACAATTTATAAGAATGAAACAACTACAATGCCTCCTTATATACAACCTGCAGAATCATCTTAATTTTAACGAATTAGAAAGTCACCTGCTGCTTCTCCTTCTCAAGTTTCTGCCTTTCACGCACAGTTATGACCTCACACTTGCTTAACTCCCTGGTACGCCGATCAAGTTCTTTTCTCTTAGCATCCAATTCGTGCATCATCTTCTCACGCTCTTGTAATATCTTTCCAACATGATCTCTAGCCATTTGCTGCATCTTCTGGATTTCTGTTGAGAGTCAAAGATGAGTAAACCCTTAAGATAAAGGGATATCTTCATATAAAATCATTAGACAAGATTTAATAAGCCTTTCAATTACACTATGTGCCCTCTCATTCATAATGCCTGGTAGCAGGGGCAGAAGTCCTTGAAAATTACAAATGCACTCCACTAATAGAGAAAAGCATAGAAGATTCCCTCTTGTCATATGTAGACATATTAAGGACCCATATGTTTAATGCAGGAGTATCGACTTTAGTCATTGGTACCAGTTATTCAGTTAGCCCTGGCATGCATGCAAAACAAGCATTTCTGCTGTCAAGATTAGTTGATGAGACGGGTCCCCAGGAGAGTAAACAAGGTTTCTATGCATACAATCAAAATGAAAATAGTTCACCACCTAAGTTGTAACAAACAAACTCCAACATAGAAAAAAGCTACACTATTCCTAAGCTAATGGAACAGTGACAGCAACATAGGTTATCCAAGGAAACTGACCTGCATAAAATATTTGCTGCAGCTCTTCTTTTTCTTCAACCATCCGACTCAAGGACATAGCTTTCTCGTTGACCATGGATTCCATTTCAACCATATTCTGATTTTGCAAATCAATCTCGTTGGCCAAGTTGACAATTGTTTCACAAGCCTGTTTACCCTGTTGAAAAATATCTGAAAGTGCCTTGAGCTCTGTGTTCTTGCGAAGATATTCTCCTATCTTCCCCTCTGAATGGTAATCATCTGCACAAGCAACCCATCCATAGATATTAGAACCAAGACTTCCTTTGTTGGCAATCCACTCCTCCTTGCTATGACAAACAACTTGAAAGGACTTCTCAAAATTCAGCAAATTCTTGTAGCCAGTCATGTCTTTCTCAAACTGCACAACCGCATTTGCAGTTTGTTCTTGTTCATTGTTAAAAACTTCAACTCCCAAGGGCCTGTACTTCGAAAAGAATTTCACCAAAGAGCCACTATCAGCCAATTGCTTCGCAGTCTTTGCATCTTCCAGAATGTTGACGACAATGCCCATCCATGGCCAGCAGAAAATCTCCTTTTCCTTTGACTCATTAGGTTGTGGTTCAGCCTCAGCTGGTTGGCTAGTTTGAATTGGTTTAAAGCCTAGGTCTACTTCCAAAAACTTTGCCAATGCAAGATGGGTGGCCTTCTGTTTGGCACTCCGGTGGGAAGCACCTTTAGCAACACCTGAGGCATGCTGGTGTAGGTCTTTGAGGGCATATTCTTGCTTCTTTTTTCCAGCACAAAACGGACACCTAAGGTTACCTTTCAAGCTCCATACTTTGTAATTCCCGGTTCTCAAGGCTTGGTATGGTTTCTCAGCGTACTCCTCAATCTCAGAATCACTGATGCCAGATTCTTCATCTGAGCTGTTCTCCATCAAAAACCTCAAGAAGTAGAAAATCAAATGTCACAACTCATGGGAAAGAAGAATGAACTCATCAATTAACTTGTTGAGCATTGGTTGTGTAAGTAGCACCATGATGCTCTAGAATTTGCAACTGACTCTTTAGATAACAGCACTGAATAAACTTTGAATTAATTATTGTTATTTTACAATTTTTGAGAACTAAGAATATTTCATATCTATCTAATAATCCGCAGATTTGAATCTGATCACTGAAACAATTCCTTACTAATGCTTCATGTAATCATATACAAACTACAAACCTTGGCAACAATAATCCAAATAAAAGTCATATGCAACCAAGTGGGTCATTACTCTTCAAAATTCGTGTATTAATTAGAATCTTATTCTAAGAAGTGATAGTAGATCTGAATCACAAATGAGTACTCAATACTCATACTCTAAATCATATTCAAAGCTATGAGTATAATTACAGCACCTTAAGTGCATTCCTTTCGTCCTCATTGCTTTACAATGTCCTTATTCAAACCCAATCCAGATGAGAAAACAAACTTCAGCAAAGCAGATGAGTAAATCTTTAGGGGGAGGTCTTGGGTTCGAACCCAAGCAAGAGCGGTTTGTGCTCTTGGGGAAGGGGTAATTGTACTAGGTTAGGGCATTTGAATACATTATTTCATCACCTAAAATTGGGGGTCTATTGATCACCATTTTTCTTTCTCAATTGCAATTCCTTTTAAAACATCAATGAAATTAAAAAACATAACAACCAAATAATTGCACAAAAAGATCAAATGCAACAAGCAAAACTTTCATATACCATATCAAAATATGAGTCTTTGTGATTGAAAGACCTCTAACAACATGAATTTCACTAGAATCATAGCAGATGTAGCAAGTAATTACAGAAAAGATCAAAGGCAGTAGGTACGACTTTCATGGTTCATAAAATCCATAAACTAATACTCCGTAGCACATGTAACACCTGGAAAACTCCAAGCCAACCTCCTTGAATCTTGATATACATGGGGGCATAATTTAAGTGGCAATTACATGACAAATTAAACAAATTATTAAATATACAGTCGATATACTTTGTTTTTTCAATGAATCAATCAAAGCCAAAATACTTTGTTTTTTGTGGGAAAAAAAATCAAGTTTTAAAAAGACATAGTTGCTAAATAAACAAATCTTGATATATATGTTTTCGATAAACTAGATTGACTCGATAACCATGTAATATTAGGAAGTAATTATTCACTTAAGGAATGTAAGTGTACACTGTACAAGCATATAGCATCTATACTTTGGCATAAATTGATCAAAACATAAGGAAAAATGAAATTGATATTCAGTCTTTAAGGTGGAACTTTTTACCATTTTACACTTATCCAGATGATGTAATTTTCATATATAGGGCCAAAAGAATAATTTACTTCCCATTGTTCTCCTTTTCCAAAATAAAATTGATGATTGACTTCATCTTTATTTAAAAACAAAAAAAAAATTGTACATTACCACCAATATTTTGTAATGGTTTATTACTCCATACACCATTACACCCCTGTAAACATGTGTACATGTCACATCTTCAGCTATAGGCATATCTATACGAAGCATATATTATTCGTATTCTATCCATCCTTATTAAGCACGTGCACGTTGCATTTTCAACAATATGTATGCCTTCTCTAGTAAACATGACACATTTCTATTTCGGCCCTCCCAATAATTAGTATGTTTGCCAATTTGTCGCATAGTAAGGATAACACCATAAAAACAATACAAAAATAGGCGACTTCAATTAAGAAAAGGGGGTGTAGTTTTCCCCACAAAAAACATCTGAATCTTATGCTAGAATTTCCTTTATTATACTCCATATTTGCTCCTAGATTATACATTTACTTTTCTATAACCCCGTATTTTATTTATATTCAAATCTGAAATTGGAATCTTTTTCTGCACATTTCAAGGATAAACAAATGTTCCGTACTTCCTTAACCTGCGAAGCTGCAATATTATAAGTTTTATAGCCCAGGCAACATTATTATATTCAAAGGTACAGATAAACCCCACCGAGCCGAAACCTCAGACACGTCAACCCGGCCCGAGATGGCAACGTTATTTTTAATCGTTCCGAGCCATTTAACAACAAACAATAAAATAAATAATTTCCTAAAAAAATTAAAAAATAAAAACAACAAACAATAAAATATTACATGCAACAAAAATCATTTCAAAAAAAAAAAAAAAATATTACTTGTATATAAAATACAAACCCAGATTTTGCAGATGTTAATCACGTCATACATTCATATACTGTACTATTACAGAGATCAAAGCACAAACCAGGCTCAAAAAACCACAAAAAATGATTAAAATTGAAAATTTTCTCGCTTAAAAATACCAACGTAAAATGCACAAAAAAAAATTCAAGCAACAAAATAAATAGTTATAACCTTTCAAAATTTCAGAAATTATAAGCTATAGTTCAATAATCCGCCTTAAAAGAACCGTAACTACACTGAAAATTGGATTAACGATAGTGTGAAGCTAAACCCTAGATTATGAAATTGATATTCGATGATTAAAAATAAAGAGAAATAAAAAATTCTTACCTTGGAAGTTGCTTCAATGGAGAAAAAACTCGGAAGCTGTTTTAATGGAGTATTCAGTACGCTTCAATGGAGGAGTGAGTGAGAGAGTGTGCAAATATAGAAAGAAGATTGTGACACGCAAATACTCCGTAATGGCAAGATTGGCAACCGTCAGACCTAAATAATATCAATGGTCAACATTCATTCTCATTTAAGTTTTGTCTTAAAATTCCTACTCCCTCTGTCTCGTTATATCGAGTGTATACAAACAGTGTCCGTTACTCATTTTTCACGAGCATTTAAACATACTCGTATTCTTTTTAGTCCCTCCAATCCTAAATATAATTGACACTTAAACTTGACACACATGTTAATACACGCACTGATTTGACCTTCAATATATATGATTAATATTACTCAAAGTAAAATTCATTAAAAAGTTGATAATATGAAAATTTATATTAATAACTATCTAGCAATAAATTTCATGATGAAAAAATTATTTTTTATACGTAGTTAAAAAACGATAGTCAAAGTTATTTCATGAATAGTGAAAAAAAAAAAAAAAACCAAACGTGTTAACAATTTAGAAATCGATGGAGTATTTCATACTCGTACAACATAATAATTATTGTAACACAATCATACACTTAACGAATGCACACTGTAAACATGTCAATGCAGTTGTTTGACCCTAATTATTAATAATGAAACATCTAGCAAAAAAAAAAAAAAAAAAAAAACTGTAATTTTATGAAACTTTATATCAAATTCAGGAAATCATAAAAATATAAGCACTAATTACACTGATGTACGCGTATTTTTGTCATGAATTCCTAATTTTATACAATTTTCAAAAGTGTATAGCTTTACCCTATTTTTATAAAATAAATTAGTATATACCATAGTCAACATTAATAAATTAATAATGGAAAACCCTAGGTGTGTAAATTATCATGGAAAAAGATGAAGTAATATGGAACATAAGAAATTACGGTATTTTATATGGGAAAGGTAACAATGATGTTTAATAAAGTTTTGGAGATACTAAGTATTAGGCTATTTTAGTTCACATTTTTTAAGGACCTTAATTAATACTTTTAGATCATATCAAATTAGGAGAAATAAGTTCATATCATACTTATCTTTTTATGTACAACTTATCGATAAATATTTTTATTCTGTAATGTAAACAATGATGAAAATTATTACAATTAATAGCACACATGTAAGTACAAATCTAATAAAACCACATTTGATAGATTTATACTTTTAACATACATAGGTTAAAGTTCGTTCAAATCAGACACTCATATCAGATAAGCAAAAATAAAAGGTGAACTAATTAACATATCTTAAGTATACGAAAATGGTTAAGGAAGGGGTTGTTTAGTTGGATTGTAGGAATGTGTTTATAATTAAGTTAAAATCCATTTCATCTATCTTTTTTGTTGAGCTTTTTAACAATGAAATCTCATATCAAATGGGTTCAAACTCTACCCTATACCCTTAAACGCCCCAGCAGCCTATATTCACCTTTCTCCCTAAGATTAACAATCCATTTCATTAATGAAATATATAATCCATTCGAAAATAAAACCAACTAACTGTAGACTAGTATATGATTTGGAATTCATATATACCTCCTTAGTATGAAATTCTATATCAATCCATTCAAATTCATTGAACCAAACACCTCTAAATGTATTGTGACATAACAACAACATGCACATGCCTGGAACACCAAAAAAAAAAAATTAAAAAAATAAAGGAATAGATGCGCCATATTATGGGATGGATGAAATATTACACTCCTTCTGCCCCTTAATATTTTGCCTCACTATGAGTTTCTCACATAAGTCAAGGAATTTGGTTTACATGATTAACAACTTTCATCAATTATTGTTATCTGAATTTTTTAGAAGAAAGTTTGTATAAAAAAAAAAAAAACTGCATATGCTTAACACAATTAAAACTAATACAAGACGGAAAAGGAACTAAGACTAGAAGTTGTTGTAGCTGCTAAATGATGAGCCTTGTGGACTCTCTGTTGATCCACCTTGAGTGATTTGTTGAAGAGTCCAAATTATGTTGAATATCTTGGACTTAATGAAATTGCAGCATTCAACCAAATTTTGAGAGCCAGTAAAGATTGTGATAGTCTTTTAATGAAATGGGTTTAGCCCATTGTAAGCCTAAAAGGCAAGCCATAACTTCAAAATGTAGCGCCAAAATAGAATGTCCAAAGTTCGCTCCAGCTATTAAAAGTTGATTAGTTGATTGCAAGGATTTTAAACACCATCTAGTTCTTGCACTCTTGGTGCCTTATGTCATGAACCATTTTAGTAGATGTGTACTTCATCATTTCATGATTCCTTTTAACAGGTAGGATTGTTTAGAAAAAACCAGGAGGATAAA